TTTTTTTTCAGTTCTTGGCGGGGGCTGGGTTTGAACCTGCCACCTCTGGTGTATGGGGCCGGCGCCCTACTCCTTTGAGCCACAGTGAATTTCTTTCAGGTGAACCCAGTCAGAGAATTTCTTTATAGCCAGCTTCTACATTGAAAGTTGGGGAGAGTAGAGTAATATTTCCAGTGGCATGGCTGGCTTTGGGAAAGAGTGGTCCTAGTTTTTATGACTGACCTTGAGGAAGAGGAATTCTGGTTTCTTTTTAGAGTGAGAATCTAGTGGGGTCCCAAAGCCCCTGTTCTCCCTCAATGAATTAGTTAGGTTCAAGGGCCAGGAAGCACACTTGACCTGACTTCCCTACCCCTCCTCTCATTCTGTGTGCTGCCTACCTTCCAAGGATGCCTTCAGTACTGCACATTGCTTGTGAGGCTGGTTAGGCAAAGACCACTGGATATATTTTTTCTATGGACATTTAAGATTTCCACTGCATCCTGCAGAATAATCAACTCTTTTAATAAACTTCATTCTGGTATAAGATAGAGTGCTACTCACTGTGAATCAATGTTAATGAAGCCATAATCATAATCTACATTACATAAATTCAAGGTATTCAACTCAGTCCAAATTCCACCCATTGTTTTCCACACGGATTGCCTACAGAGATGAAGAAAATGAATGTGAAGATGGATGTTGTACCAAACTTTTGAGAAGCTAAGGACATCATAAATAACAAGGAAAAGATTTTATAATATGTTGACTTCAAGAATAGTGTTCCTTGGCTAACCCATCTTTTGAAGGTTAACACAACTTACTTGGCTAATTTCTTCATTTTTCAAGACTCAGGGGAAGCAAATTCCCTCAAAGAAACCTTCCTTTATCCCTCCTTCTCACCAGATCATGAAATCTCTGGGTAAAAATCATGTTTTTGTCTCTATTCTTAATATCTAGAACAGTTCCTGACACATAGATTGTCAATAACTATTACTAAATGAATACCAACATTTTATTATTATAAATGATGATAAAAACATTAAAGGAATAGTAGCTTAAAATTTGATAATTCAGGAAAATGACTCAGGGTGTAGATGAAGGTTAGATGAGTCAAGCTGGAAAGTCATTAACTATTTTTAGCTCATTTTAGCAGCTGGGAGTCAACCCATAACCTGGTGTTTAATTTCCAGGGTGGAGAAGACCAGAACAACGGAATAGACTCTAAAAGTGATTTAATCACTGATTTGTCACTTCATGCCTCCCTGGTCACTATCACCAAAACTCATTTAAAAGTCCTATGTTTCAGTGTTCTAGACGGCAATTTTACTGGCAATGACTACAAATCAGTGAGATCTTCAGCATAACAAAAATCATGCTGACCTGCTTTTCCACATGCTGGGAAATTGTTCCTTCTTTCCAGCAAAAATGTAAGCCTTCATCAATGTTTATCAGACTATACCTTCCGAGTAACTTAGGTGTGGATGGAGTATAACCTATAGATTAGTTAATTGTTTATGCAATAAATCTTCTCTGAGCTGTGAAACCTTTACAAGGCTGTTTATAGCAAGAATTACGGGAAGTTTACTATAATATCCAACGTGGATAATTATATCCACTTGGAGAATTATTCCACTTGGATATTATAGTAACTATAATATGGACTATTCATGACTCCATTGCATCTTACGGATGAGGATTGTGAAGATGTTGAGAATAAGGGGAGATCTCTAACAGCTAAAAACCTGTGGAGGTGAGACACGAGCTGATGTTCTCACCTGCTGCCGTGCTTTCTAAACACATTGCCAGGCAAGCCTTGAACAGGACTGTGAACGTCTGGTCTCTCTTGTTCTCTGAAAACATGACTGCAACATAAAAATGTCGACCTTCAAGTCCAGCCTACAGGTTTTGAATTAGTAAAAATGTGTATTGTCAATGCTTATAATTCACAAATTCCAAATTTGTGTATTTTCCTTCTCACTGAAATGTATTTGAAGTCACAAAACCTATACTCCCGGCACTCTCACTTAATTCAGACACATGGACGGAGCCCCTGAAAAACTGGTTTCTGACCAAGGTCAAAGGTGCACTGCCTTCTCCTTAGCTCTCAGGTGGGAAACAAGGGCCCTCTTTCTGGCCTGCAGATAGACCATTTTTGTACTTTTTTTTCCTCTTGGTGATTTTGCTGTTTAAAATGGCAAGTATAGTGAATGCTGTCTAGTGTTCTTAGGTGCAGGGGAGCTCTGATGTGCACTAGAGAGAAAATATGTATATTAAATACGTTTAATAAACTCCACTCTAGTATAAACTATAGTGCTATTGACTGAGAGCTCAATGTTAATGAAGCAGCAATACACATTAAATAAGATCATTAAACAGAAACACATCAAACAAGTTCATGTATGGATCAGTTGACAAAAATATTGGAACCAAGGTTTGCAAGAACCTACTTTGCACGTCCAGTAGAAGCAAAGTTTCAGTGTTGTAAACTCACATTCCTGTCCTCTCACCAGGGCATTTGTGCCTGTACTGCCAACTTCAAGGACAACTTCAGTGGCAGCAGGCATTTATAGGCATCCCTCTTTTTCCTGTGTTTCACTTTACTGTGCTTTGCAGATACTTCATTTTTTACAAATTGAAAGTGTATGGCCACCTTGCGTCAAGCATGTATTGATGTCATTTTTCCAACACCATGTGTCACATTTTGATGATCCTCACAATACTTCAAACATTTCATTATTATTATATCTGTTATGGTGATCTATGATTAGTGACTTTTGATGTTGTTACAATTGTGTTTGAAGTGCCACGGACCATAAGCCTAACCAACAAATACTGTGTGTTCCGACTGCTCCACTGACCAGCTCTTTCCCTGCCTCTCTTCCTTTCTTTTTATTTTCTGAGACAGAACAATATTAGCATTAGGCCAGTTAATAACTCTACAATGGCCTCTAAGTATTCAAGTGAGAGGAAGAACTGCATCTCTTTCACTTTAAATCAAGAGCTAGAAATGATTAAGCTTACTTAGGAAGGCTTGGGGACAACTGAGATAGGCCAAAAGCCAGGCCTCTTGTGCCAGTTAACCAAATCATGAAGACAAACAAGTTCTTTACTCCATGAACACATGAATGACAAGAAAGCAGAACAGCCTTATTTATGCTATGGAAAAAGTTTGAATGGTCTGGATAGAAGATCAGGCCAACTGCAACAGTTCCTTAAGCCAAAGCCTAATCCAATGTCCTATCTGTCCTCCATTCTATGGAGGCTGAGAGACGTGAGGCAGCTGCAGAAGAAGAGTTGGATGCTATTAGAGGGTGGTTGATGAGATTTAGGGAAAGAAACCATCTTTATAAATAAAAAAGTATAAGGTCAAGTAGCAAATACTGATGTAGAAGCTACAGCAAGTTACCCAAAAAATCTAGCCGAGATCATTGATGGAGGTGTCTATACTACACAATAGATTTTCAGTGTAGATGAGATTGCCTTATCTAGGAAGAAGATGCCATACGAGCATCTTTTATAACTAGAGGAGAAGTCAATATCTGGCTTCAAAGCTTCAAAGAACCAGCTGTCTCTCTTATTAGGGTCTAACGCAGCTGGCGATTTTAAGTTAAAGCCCATTAAGTTAATGCTCATTTACAGTTTTGAAAATTCTAAGGCCCCAAAGAATTGTGGGAAATCTACTCTGCCTGTGCACTACAAATGGGACAATGAAAAGAATGATTGTGCATCTGTTCACAGCACGGTTTATTGAATATTTTAAGTCCACTTGAGACTTTCTGCTCAGAAATGGAGATTCCCGTTCAGAAAGGTACTTCTCACTGACATGGCGCTTGGTCTTCTGAGAACCGTGATGCAAATGTACAAGACTATTGTTTCATGCCTGCTAACACAGCATCCCCCCTGCAGCCTGTGGATCAAGGAGTAATCTTGACTCTCAAATATCATTATTTAGGAAATAAATTTCATAAGGCTGCAAGCACCCTCTGATGGATCTGGGCAAAGTAACTGAAAACCTTCTGGAAAGCATTTGCCATTGTAGATGCCGTGAAGAAGATTCTTAATGATCCATGTGAGCAGGTTCAAACCTTAACAGGAGTTTAGAAGAAGATTATTCCAACCCTCGGGATGACTTTGAGGGATTCAAGACTGTAGAGGAGATAACTGCAGATGTGATGTAAATAGCAAGAAAACTAGAATGAGAAGCAGAGCCTGAAGGTCACTGACTCGCTGTAATCACTTGCATGAGCAAACTTGAACTGGTAAGAGTTGCTTCTTATGAATGAGCAAGGAAGTAGTTTCTTTTTTTTCTTTTTTGGCCAGGCCTGGGTTTGAAACCACCACCTTTGGCATATGGAGCCAGCGCCGTACTCCTTTTAGCTACAGGCGCCACCCCAAGGAAGTAGTTTCTTGAGATGGAATCTACTCCTGGGGAAGATGCCTTGCACATTGTTGGAATGACAACAACGGATTTAGAATATCACACAAATTTAGTTGATAAAGCAGTGGCAGGGTTTGATAAGATAGATTCTAATTTTTTTTAAAAGTTCTGTGGCTAAAATGGTATTAAATAGCATTGCATGTCACAGAAATCTTTCATGAAAGGAAGAGCCAACTGACAGGACAAACTGCCTTGTTATCTCACTTTAAGAAGTTGCCGCAGGCACCCTAACCTTCACCAATTGCCATCTTGATCGTCAGCAGCCTTCAACATTCAGGCAAGACCCATGACCAGCAAAAAGATTATTACTCTTTAGCATTTTGTAGCAAAAAAAGTATTTTAAATTAAGGTGTTTACAGCTTTGGAAACATAATGGCACACGTAACAGATTGTAGCAGAGGGTGAACATAACTTTGGTATACACTGGGAAACTAAAAAAAAATAAAATAAAAATCGTGGACTAGTTTTATTGCGGTGTTCTGGAAGGGAGCGGGTAAAACCTCCAGAGCCCTGCGCCTGAGGGGACGCCTTGCGCCCGCTGCGCAGAGCGGCCGGCAGGTGGCGCTCCGCGGGGAGCTCTTTCCACCTCCGTTCGGACCAGGTGGACTGGAAGGGGCGGAGGTAACCAGAAGAGGCCAGTGGTGGCCGCCAGTGGTCCTCCACCCCCTCCACGCAGCGCTAGCGACAAGCGTGCCGGGAAGCGGGAGCGAGCGGCGAGACCAGCTGCGTTCTGGGCCCCGGCACCGCTGCCATCTGCTCTGCGAAGCACCAGGTCGTCCCCGCCGCGCTCGGTTCGAAGTCGGCCACCATGGAGGCACAGGCACGAGGTGAGTGGTCGCCGATTGCCTTGAGGGCCAGGTCTTGGGGCGCGCATACCAGGCTTTTCCTGAATCATCTAACTTTGCTCTCTGGAAGAACGGATTGGTACCGTCCTACGCGTCCGGAACTCCACTCCCAACCGCTCCTTCGGGATAATGCCTGCCCCCCAAACTCAGAATTTGCTGTGAGTCTGGGGATCAGTAAGCGGACAGGTCCTAGCGTAGAAAATGAGCCCACAGAACGCTCTACCCCTTTCCGCAACCAGTCGCCCACACCTCACGGTGTGCATCGGACCTGTTGTGCCAGGTCTGGAATTCACGTTTCTGTCCCTTTTCTTCGGGGGAGGGGAGGGGGGGACGCGACTCCTTTCGCCCGGGGCCATGGAGTCGCACCTTATGGCTTCCAAGTTGAGAAGTGGGAGGCTGGGGACCGTCCGAGTGGTGGTCCCGGAGAGACCTGGGTCTCCTGGCTAGGCGAGGGGTTTCCCGCGCAGGGACCGGCCTTCAGAGGCGAGGCGAACACTATCGGTCCCCGACCCCCAGCAGATCCACCTGTGCGCCCCGGTTCCCCGCGCTCTGGGAGCGACCTTCGCCTCCCAGGCGCTCCAGGGCCCCCAACCTCAGTGTGGCAGCCCGGCTCCCGGCACCGGGCTCTCAGAGCCGCCGGCCACAGGAGCCTGCGGCGGCTTCACAAAGGGCAGCCTCGCATCTTGGGGGTCACACTTGGGCCGCGGGTAGAGAATACCGATGGGATCACTTAAGAACGCGTGTAAACGGACCTTGGAAAGGGGCAGAGGTGGGCCGACGCGAAGCGAGTGACAGATAGGAAGGAAATCAACTCAGAAACCAACCTGGGGAGTAACACCCGGAAGGGATGGATTGCAAAGTTGATCCTTTAAGGCAATCATCTCCATCTCTCTTCTACTCTGTAGGAAATTCTCTGATCTTTTTTAATATAAATCAAAGCCCGTTTAAAAATAAAAAAGAGGTTCATGACCCTGTGCGCTCGCCCTCTAGGGGCAGAAGCGTCCTGAATGAGTGCGGTTTGGCGAATGCACCAACAGATTTGCTGCCAGGATTGCAATTAACAATTGAACAGCACGAACCATACTTCTCCGTTCTACCGGCCAAGATCCTGCCCATAAAGCTGCCACTTCCAATATTTTTCCTCCATTATGTAAATAGGAAAGGAGAATTTAACCAAGGGTGGGGGTAGTTGGTCAAATTCAAAAGAAAAGGTCAGGTTGGAAGCCTTCACACCTGAACTGAAACAGGTGGGAGCAACACTGGAGCTTTCCAACCTGACTTGCGGATTAGAATTATTAGCCGTCTTAAATACTGGCCCTGGCCAACCCCGTCTCAAACAAATTGGAATCTCTGGGGCCTGGAGATGGGTGTATTTGAAAGCTTCCCTGGTGATTCTGTTATTCAGTGAGATTGGAAAAGAACTCTAGCAGATAGGAAACATTCATCCCAATTCTGGAGACGTCTGATACTACAGATTGGGACCCACTGGTGTCACTGGTTTGCTTTACTTCCAGGATTTACTTAACAAAAATTTCAATGCTTTCTGTTGCCAAGCTCTGTGCTAGGAAGAGCATAAACAGACCCGATTTCTGCTGCATGAAATATAGAACAGAGGAAGAGACAGACATTAATTCGATAGCTACTTGATAAACAAAATGTAAATTGCTACTGTGTTAATGCCAGGAAGAGGGCCCCATAGGGTAGTGAGAGCCTGAAAAACTTAAATTTAGTATACAATAATCAAAAGAGCACACGCTGTTCATTGCATCCCTGTCCCTGTTCTTTGTGGGTTATATCTATTGATGCCTGTCATGTGCACAGCAGTCTCATGAGGTCAGGAGGCAGCTGGTGTTCTTGTTCCCATTCTACAGACAGGACACGTGCATGGAGGGAAACTCCTTATTTAAAGCTGGTGCTGTCAGAATCGCATTCTCATTTTTCAAGCCTGTGACTGTTAAGTGACTGATAAACCCAAGTTCCTACCCACCTCTCCAGCTGCCTTCCCCTCCCTCTCATGACTGGGTGGGACCTTTGCAGGGGAGGAGGACTAGTAAAAAGGCAAAAAAAATATGTGAAAAGTAAGCAGATATAAGAAATCCTTAAAAGAAAAATCAAAAGAATTTAGATTGGATAGGATATGAAGGAGGCTGTGTCAAGGATGACTCCACCTTCCTAACTTTGTGCAACCAAATGGATGATTCTTGCCTCTTAAAATCCTCATTTTCCCAGTAATTTAAGTTTTTCATTTCATACTTTTTTTTTTTTTTGGTTATTTAAACAGCAAGCTTGTTAGAGTCTTTAAGAATAAAACTTTCCACAAACATTATAGTTATTAAAAAGAAATCTTTTTTTTTCTACTTGGCACATTTTTTTTTTCTGGCTTCATGAATGGTTGCCTCTTACATTCTAAGATAGTTCTGTGATTTTCAAAGAGTAAGTTTCTACATTCAGTGCAGTTTATTTTAGAATTATCTGGAGTGGAGCTGCTTATCTTTCTGCCTCATAATCTAGACACAAGCAAAGATGAGTAAGGTTAAGCAGGCAGGTGCTGATAAGTTGTCCCCGTACTGTCCAGAAGGCCACCCAGGTGCTACGGACATTATTTATACATATAGCCTAATTAATGCCCAAGACGTCCTGGAAACTTTCTTATAAGTGAAGTTCTGCAAACACACTCTTTGATTTTGTGAAAGAGTAGATTTCTTTCAGCAAAACAAGAAGACATTCTAGAGAGATGGCGGGAGGGATAACATGAACTGGGGTTATAGTAGAGTGATTTAGTGAGATGGGGTTGGAGCACAATGTGGAGTGAGCAGTTCAGGGGAGGTCACGGGTGCTGGAAAGTTTTGCTTTAAGACAACTGATACATTAGAAAGGGAATTCACTTAGGAATGTTGAATTCCCTGAAACATAGGGCAGGTCCTTTAAAATAAAAACTTCCTGATCCTTTTAAACTACCTTTCAGTATTTCGCATTTCATTGTTCTAAATGGAAATAACTTTGTTGTTTTTGCTTTTCCCAATGGCTTTAATGTTAAAAGGAAAACGTCTCCATTTAACCTTTGTATATGTTCAAATTAATAACTGTGTTAGTTTCCTGTAGCTGCCGTAACAAATTACCACAAACTTGGTGGCTTAAAACAATAGATATTATTCTCTTATAGTTTGGAGGTTAGATGTCCAAAATCATTGCCACTGGGCGGAACTTCAGATGTTAGCAGCTTGTCCTCTGTCTGGAGACACTGAGAGATAATCTGTGCTGCCTCTTCTGGTTTCTGGTGGTTGCCGACATTCTTTGGCTACACTGCTCCGATCTCTGCCTTTAGGGTTACACGGTCTTCTCTTCTGTGTCAGATCTTCCTCTGCTTCTCTCTTTTAAGGAAACTTGTGATTTTATTTAGGGTCCACCTAGGTGATCCAGGATAATCTGCTTGTCTCAAGACCTTTAATTTAATTACATCTGCAAAGACCTTTTTTCCATATAAGGTAATATTTACAAATTCCACGAATTAGGACCTGCTATCTTTGGAGGCCATTATTCACGTTACTATAATATTGTTATATTCAGACATCCATGCTAGAGGAGTCTCAGAAGCCCATGAATGACTCAAAGTGATAAATATTAGATTAATCCTGTTTGTAATTCTGTTAAATGAAAAATATCATACATACCTTACATTATGCTATGCTCATAGGACATTTATATATTCTTATCTTGTTCCAGGAATGACATTGGGCAGTTTATACAGATATATAAAACTCACCAAGATGATGTAAATTAGAAATGGATGAAAGAAAATAAGGATAAGAAGTGAAATAAGGGAGAAAGCTCTAGCAAATGTGTAATATTATAATGTTATATCTGCTTTATTAATATTGCATGGAAAGCAAATTCTTGCTCTATAAACAAAGTATCATATTTTATTACAAAATAATAAAATAACTCTTCCTCCTACTGTCAGATAGAAGAGGTGGAATCGCTTATATGGGCAATGACTTTGGGATGTTGCAGGTTCAGTTCCAGGATAAAGTGAATATCACAATAAACTGAAGCATGCAAATTTTCTGGTTTTTTAGTAAGTGTGAAAGTTACATTTACACACCACTGTAGTTTGTTAAATATGCAATAGCATTATGTCTAAAAGATGTACATACCTTGATTAAAAATACTGCTGAAAAATAACAATCACTGAACCTTCAGTGAGTCAATCTTTTTGTTGGTGGAGGGTTTTGTTTTGATGTTGATGACTGTGACCTAATAATCAGCATGGTGGTTGCTGAAGGTGGGGGTAGTGGTGGCAATTTAAAAAAATAAGACAACAACAAAAAATCTAAAAAACAAGACAACAGTGAAGTTTGCCTCCTCAAATGACACTTCTTTCGTGAAAGGTTTCTCTGTAGCCTGTGATGCTATTTGTTAACATTTATCCACAGTAGAACTTCTTTCAACATTGGAGTCATTCCTTTCAAAACCTGTCACTGCTTTATCAACTACGTTGATGTAATATCCCAAATCCTTTGAGGTCATTTCAATGATGTTCACAGCATCTTCCCCAGAAGCAGATTCCATGTCAAGAAACCACTTTCTTTGCTCATCCCTGAGAATCAGCTCCTCACCTGTTCAAGTTATATCTTCAGACTGCAGCAGTTCCGTTACATCTTCAGGCCACTTCTTTTCTATGTACTTCTCTTGCTGTCTCCACCACGTCTGCAGTGATCTCCTCCATTCAAGAACTGAACCCTTCGGAATCATCCATAAGGATTGGAATCAACTTCTAAACTGCTGGTAGTGTTGATATTTTGACCTCTTCCCATGAATCACAGATGTTCTTAACAGCATCTAGAATGGAGAATACTGTCCAGAAGGCCTTCAGTTACTTTGCTAGGTCCATCAGAGAATCATCATCTCTGCCAGCTATCGCCTTAGAAAAATGTGTTTCCTAAATAATACAACTTGAAAGGCAAAATTAGTCCTTAATCCAT